TTATTTCTCATTGATGGGTTTTGTGTTTCAGTAGTATTGTTTATCTTACACTCTTTTGAAGCATTTGAATTCCACAAAATTGGATTATAGAGAGATATATATATATATATTATTAAAAGTAATTTTTTTTCATGCGTAGGTGACATATTATAAGAGCTTACTTTTTTCTAAGAAAGCTACGTCAGCATGTATTTTCTTAATTATATAGAGTTCTACACAAATTCAAACCTTATTTAAATTATACTAACTTTACTTATTTTATATAGACTTTATTTGACAATTTTTTTTTCCATATAATTTTCATGATAAATTGAAATAATTCACAAACCAAATACCAATTTTGCGCTTCATGTTTTTCTTCTTAAATATTTCAAGGATATTAGGATTTTTTTTAATGCTAAATTGTATTTTTTTTCTTATTTTTCCGTGTATTATTCTATACCAAATACCAATTCTATATTATGAATTTGTCGTTTAAAGTTTATAGTAATTCTATATATGAAATTATACTTCATTTCCTACGTTATTTTATATAATCACAACTCATAAGAGGAAAAACTTGCATAACAATGATACTCTTGAGGAACCTCTAAAGTTTGAGTTTATTGCTTGAGTTGTTTTTTCAATTGTTGAATAATAAGTTCTTTTATGTTTTAACATCATAATGCAGATGATTAATCACTTCACATGTTGAGATGTACCTATCATTTGAATATTTTCATTATTTTTTTTTTTTAGGTTTAGATGTTGTTATGTGATTCTTTCTTGGTTAGTCGTTGAATTTTTTTTATATAATTGATATTTTAATTTAATTAAGAATGTTTATTTTACAATCTTATAATTTAATATATACATACATACATATATATATATATATATTCATATTATAAAAACATTATTATGATAATACAATAGATCAAATATTTTATTTAATTTTTAATAAATTTTATATAATTTCTATTTCTACATATTTTTATTTTCTAAATGAATATAAAAGAAAATTAAATAGTTAGAATTACTTTTAATTTTATATTACTAATTCTTCTTCTCATTTAATTATTATTTTAATATCAAAATGAGTATTTATTTTACTATTTTATAATTTAATATATACTATACAAAATTATTATATGATAATTACACTTTTATAATATGATAGAACTAAAATTAATATATATAAGTATTTAAGTAACAATTTTATAGAACGATAGTGTTAATATTATCAAAACAAATAATTAAAATCATATTTTAATTTTAATTTTAAATTAAAATTAAAATTATTCTTTTATGTATCATTAAATATATATATTTAAAAAAAAAAAAAAACACGTGCACGAGAAAGAAGTGGGGTTTGATTTGGAATCCTAAACTTTGAAGAAAGCAAACGCAAGTTGCTCCCGATGTAGAAAAAAGCAACCTTATAACTAGGGTTTGCATATGATGATCCATTGATTAGAATGCATAAACGACATAAAACACTAATTTTTGAGATCAGACATTCTCACTTTGTCTTAACACACAAAACGCAGAGAAAAAGTGTTATTTAATGCAATTTAAAATAGACATTTCGCCTTTTTTTTCATTGTGACTTAGACATGTTGAATTGAGACTTATAAATCTTATTTTGATAATTTTTTATATTAATTTCGAAGCTATGATCACTCTATCTTACTAAAAATCAATGTAATTGTATCAAAATTGTTAAGTTTATTATATTTTTTATAAACATCAAAGGTGATTAATGTAATTTAGAAAAAAATAAAAAAGTAGCAATAAAAATTAAAAGGGGTAATGATGCGGAAGAAGAAATATAGTCCTTTATATGCGACAATCATTTAAGCATTATGCTCTCTCTCTTTTTTTTTTTTTCTTGAGGAGTCATTATTAATTTTCTTTGCATCAAGCAGAAAAGATAGAGATTCAATGGAAAAAAAAAAAGAAAAAAAATTATCTTGAATCATGATGTGTGATACAAATTTAATTCTTGTGTAGTTAGACTCACACTTAAAATAAATTTTAATTCTACAATGGTTATTAAATATTTTTTTAAATAAAATTTCAGAATTTCTAACATTGCAGCAGAATCCAATGGTGTGTGACTATTGATTTGGATATAAAGACTTTATAAATCATGAATGGTGTCTCATAGAGCACTAGATAGATGAGCATTGAACAATATATAATGGGTACAATTATTTTTTGAAGGGATTGAATTCTTGTATATATTCAGACGTCTCATCTTGTCTAGATAAATTAATTTATTATAAATCTACAAGCAATCATAATAATATTTATGTTCATGCATGTTTATATATATTTGTGTGTATACAAATAAATGCAATTTTTTTTTTTATTTTATTGAAAAAAATAATAAGCAGGCAAACAAACATGAGTTATATACAAATGAACAAGTAAAACCAATTAGTTATTTCCTAAAAAAAGGATTTCTAGAAGAAGAGAGTGAACAAATTCAAAGGTGATCATAGATTTCAAAGTTGACCAAAGCATTGTTTAATGATGAAAATGCTTTTCCCTTTTTCTTCAATTTAAAGCAAGTTTTTTTGTCAATGGCCCCCCCTAAAGCAAAGATGTGAAGCAGTCAATATATATAGATATAGATATATACATCAAATGTTACATGTAAAGTAGATCAGCATAGCTTCCTTTCTTCAATTGTGGGTAACCTATTAATTGAGGACATTATCAACATAAGTAAAATGTATTCTTAATGAGTGTACCAAGAACACCTCCAATATATATATATAATTTTTTTAATATTTAATTTGATTCTTAATTTGAGTAAAAAATTTGATCGGATATGAATTATTTTAAGCTTTTCATCAAATTTTTATCAAAATATTTTAAAAATTCCCCTCTTATCCCAAATCTATCTTTTCATCAAATTTGATGAAAAAATCGCCTCAATGCTTCATCTTTTAAAAATTTTATCAAATGCAAGGTTTGATCAATTCTCAATTTGATGAAAGGATTGGAAATGATTTTTGAATATTTTTTCATCAAATTTAAATTAGATAAAAGAAATGGTGAAGGATAGTAGATGTTCTAATTTTTGGACACTCATTAACAAAAATATTAAATAAAACGCAGTATTAATATGGATCAAGATATTTTGTCTTATTTTTCTCCGCAGCGATCTCGTTCCAATGATCCAAGTTTACAATTGAAACAAAACAACTTAATTTTAAAATATTTAATTTAAAGTAAAAAGACATTATTTTAATTTAATTTCAAACTTGAGCTGTTAAATAATGTCATTCGCTGATATGTCTTATTTTGGTAAGAATTACAGCAAAAAGAATGACAGAGATGATCCAAGTCCAATCAGTATAAAAGAGCAATACAAATGTATATAAAAATTAATTTTTAGTTTTGATAAATAAGTGCACAAGATACATACAAGTAGGGTAAATACATTAGAGTAAAATGTTTATGTTTTAGTTTTAGTTTTAGTTTTAGTTTTTAGAACTTGTTTCACACAATTGACCATTCAAATTACATATCATTATTGACCAACCATTTAGCACACGCAAGTTCCAAGTTGCAGTTACCATATGAATGGATGCTTTTGATTATCAAGTTTTGAAAAACACCCAAAAAAAAAAAAAAAACCCAAGTCATTCTCATAATGTAGGTGACATTTATTTGCTGGATATGCATGCTTGCAAGTATAGGATACGCATCAAAATAGTACAAAAAAAATGTAGTACTTTATCATATTAAGTATAGTGAGTAATGTAACAAAGCCAAAAAGAAAAGGAAAAGGAAAAGGAAAAGGAAATAAGAGCTTTCCTATTTTTTCAATGTACCCAATATGAACAGAACGGGACTCATCCTCCCGGGGCGTTCGGGGACGTCGACACAAGTCATTCTCATAATGTAGGTGACATTTATTTGCTGGATATGTATGCTTGCAAGTATAGGATACGCATCAAAATAGTACCAAAAAAAAATGTAGTACTTTATCATATTAAGTATAGTGAGTAATGTAACCAAGCCAAAAGGAAAAGGAAAAGGAAATAAGAGCTTTCCTATTTTTTCAATGTCAAGCCCACACACTACACAACAACACATGAAAGAAGCTTCCTCTAAAGCAACTTATAATGTATAATGTCATCTCCCACCCATCATAATAATATAATGATACACACAAAGATAAGTAGGTGTCTCTAAGAGCATGTGAGTGAAGAAGAAAGACAACTACAGTTGACATCGCAAAAACAAATGTCTTTTCTTTTCCCTCTCTTTCTTCGAAGCTTACTTACTGGGCTCTTTGATTCCTCTCTTCAAAGCAAATCTCATCTTCTACCTGTCTATCTGTAACTTTACTGCCCATTTTGAAGATGTGCTTTAAAGCCTTTTTTTTTTTTTTTTTTTTAAGATGTGCTTTAAAGCCTTTTTTTTTTTTTCTTTAAATAATTAATAGGATTGGAGATCCAATTGGCGTCGATTCACATTTCGATTATCTATCCACAATTGTTAAGTCTGTCAAGTAGATCATCCATGTAAACAAATTAAACATCAAGTAGAAACAAATAAAAAAAATAAAAAAATAGAATTGAAAGTCAAGTAAGAAGGAAAGAGGTTAGCTAGTCCTCGAAAATGTTCCGCCTCTAGGTTTGTATGTCATTGGAGCTAAAAATTCACCTTGTGACTCAGATGAAAATAAATCATCTAATTTGTTAAGAAGTTTGAAAATATTCTACATTCTGCATAAAAATATATAATCTTTTTAAACCTTTTCATTTTAACGAGAGAGAGAAAGAGAGAGAGAGAGAGAGAGAGAGAGAGAGAGAGAGAGAGAGAGAAGAAGAAAAGATGGGGGTGTGTTTGGGAGCATGTGAGTGAAGATAGAAAGTCCCAGTTGACATATAGGAAGGAATGTCTTTTCTTTTGCCCCTCTCATTGGGTTCTGATTCCTCTCTTGAAAGCAAATCTCTCAATCTATCCATTACCCTAACTTTACTAGCCATTTGTAAAGCTTTTTTTTTTATTCCCTTTCTTCTTTTCTTCTGAAGATGACTGATGGGGAAGACATCTCCAACAAATGAAAATAAATGAAAGTGTTTTTTTATGATCAAATATGTTGTCGATAAGTTCAATCATCCAACACTGACCAGCTAATTGATCAGTACAATTAATTTTGTTTTGTTTTTTGCTGATATGTTTGCTATTGACTCATTCTATTGTGTTCCGCTTAAAGTTGCAGTCAAAAGAACATGTGTGACAAATTTTGAATGTATAACATTCAATGGACTTGTTGCATTGTCCACACATTTTTGTGATAAGAATTTGGTAACAATAATTTTTTTTGAGAATCTCTTGATGGGCTTGACAATTTTCTTGATGAGATTTTCTGCCGTTGCATGTAATTTAGCTTCCCTCCGTCTCAAATTGTTTGTTCATTTTTATTATTTTTTAATTTATTCCATTTTCAACGATTTTGAAGACTATGTCTATATGAACTTATTAAGATCTTTTAATATCTATGAAAACGCATTATTTATTGACAAGAATGTCAAAAATAGACGAACAATTTCTCTCAGGATAAGCTCTCCATACTTATTCATACCCATCTTGTGGGAACTAATTCGGATCCACATTAATAATTCAAACTGTCTACGTCGTAGATCCTGCAATAAAGGTCATCCAACAATAATTCAATTTCATTACACAATTATAAACACAGGAACAAATCATATTTTGTTTTATAAAATGAATGTCAAATATGATTGTAAACTTAAACCAATCAATATAAAATAAAATGTGATTTGTTACTGTATTTATAAATGTCCAATGAAATTAATTTTTTCTATGGATAACTTTTATTGCAAAGCCTATGAGGTAGACAGCACAAATCATCAATATGGGTCCAAATTGAAGTTCAGAGTAGATGAGTATGGAGAGATGAAGGCATGGAAGAGAGCTCTCAAAAGCCTGGATTGGAAGCCCACCTTAATTCACGTGTAGTACTCTCAATAATTAGGCAGACAAAACAGTTGTCTAGCTCTAGAGTACTGGGATAGTAACTAATGGGCTTCAAATTGGGTTGTCTCGAAACAAGCCCACTGCTCAAATCATAACCATAAAAACCTCGGAATAGTGTTTGTAGGCTCCACCCACAGAGCCCAGGGTTGCACTGGGTTTGATATATAATCACACCCCCATGGGAAAATCCAATTACTCAGAAAATTTATCCAGAATTTTGTCAGAATATATTTGTGTCAAAACAATATTCTGTGGAGTGTTCATATAAAATGAAACCTAACCACATATTGATATTACTGAAAGATTATTACCCGTGTTTTATATCATATCATCATTACCTCTTCATGATCCTTTATTGATATGAAGAGAAGATGAAGCTCACTGTATATTAACCTTGTTGTATACAAAAGTATGCTTTTCTATTATCACAAATTTTCAACTACTGCTAAGACAAGGTTCAGTCCTTGTATTGGGAAAACACCTACTTTAAATTCACTCTCTTGTGTTCCAGTGTTGCCAATCAATGACTGTAATGAAGTTAAATCTTTAATAGACAATTCTACAAGACACGATACATATGTATACACATAATATTGGCAAATGCTATATAATTGGTAGTATAAATATTGATTTACATTAAACTTATGCTCTGTAAGGTTCACTAATAAAATAAAGTGGAATTAAGTGATCATTCTATTATCATAATGTTCATTATCTTGTTTGGTTCACTAAAAAAATGTGCTATAAATAAAATCATCATTCGTCATTATAAAAAATAATCATTTCATAGAGAGGCTAATTCATTCCAGTGATGTTAAATATGTACTCCCACTTGGTTTCGTTGGTACCTTCAGTATCTTTATTATGTTCATGCTTTAATGCAATTTTATAACCAAAAATTTTCCTCATTTTACGCTTCATTCGAAATGTCCAAATTTTTCTATGAGATTCTTTCTATCTTTTTTTCAAAATATGTTTTGTTAGTTATATGTTAGTTGCAAATTTCTTGTTTATAACTAGCCTAGGAAATGTAGAAGTCATTTTCAAGTTCTTTGCTGCATTTTGTCTTGCTTTTAGAGTATTATGTTTTCTTTGTCACATATATATATATATATATATATATCAGTTTTGAATGGTAACAATGACATGTTAATAGAGTACACGTGAGAAGTTCTAAATCTGTTGCAAATAGTTAGTAATGATCTTTGAATGTTGTTTATCTGACTTGCATGTTTGGAAATGGTGAATGTTTGTATGTTGGGATATAGAGGCCACGTTGAGGCCATATGGGCATTGATGTTTATTTTGATAAGATACCTTTTAACTATTTTTTTTTTAATTTTATTTGAGAATTTCGGTGGGACCCTCTTGTATAATCGTTTACGAATACTTCAAGCTTTTCAAAAGATGATCTATACTAGTACTCTTCTTTAGCTTGTAGCATAGCTCAAAGCTTTGATGTCATTCCCTTGTAAGGTGAATTGGGTGAAAAATATGTCACTAGCACTATTTATTTATTTTTTTCAATGTGATGCCTCATGTCTCGTAATGATGTTGTAATATTTCCATCTAAAATTGAAATTTACATGTAACTCATTTCATATATATATATATATATATATATATCAGTTTTGAATGGTAACAAGGACATGTTAATAGAGTACATGTGAGAAGTTCTAAATCTTCTTGTGGGAAGCTAATTATGTTCAAGTTCTAAAGGTTATGGCTTCACCTACATATCCTTTTAATCCAATTGTGATTTGGCAATGGCCTCCAATTGATCCTATTTTGGGGCTTAAAACTGTAAGAAACTTTTTTGAAGGCTTGACACAGAGCACATTATTTATTACAAAACAAGTGCACCTCCATTGCAAGCAAGCAAGAACTCAAACCTGCAATTGAAAGGTTCGCACAAGCAGCCTATGGAGGAGGCGGCTTGCCATGAAGGCCTGGCTGGGTAGACAACATCAGAGCTTGGAAAAAGAAGGTCTCCGCTTCTGGCTGTACGAAGAGATTGCCTCTACAAGATCATCAGATAAAAGCATTCCAGAGTTCCAAGTAGCAACGTAATCTAACCCCTGATCCAAAGTTAGGTCCCGACTCCTTAGTAAAACTGCCTTTGTTCCAGTGACTGCAAGGGGAGACTTGGCTCCGATTTCTGACATAACCATCTCTTACAAGTTAGAACAACAAAACCTCCAATCAAAGAAAGATAAAAAGAAACAAAGCACTTCAAAAAAAAAAAAAAAACAGAACAGTCAACACATTTAAAAGCTGGCGTGCACTTAATTTGGTAGTGAACTAAGCATAATGTCTTCATCTCCTATAACAAATTCTGATATTCTTAACCTCAAATCAAGATAGTGAGCATGGTATTGAACGTAGTATTGTTCCATTTGGTTCAAGTCGAACTAATGAAAATGATTGATACATCCATTTTACAAAACTCACAAATTTCGTTCCAGTAACAGTAAGGGCAAGGAGAGATTCAAAAAAAAAAAAAAAACTAAAATAAGCAAATGACGCATGCAAGGCTTGCTACATTAAGAATTGTTCAAATAGGATTTTACAATTCTACACCAAATAAAACAATTTATGTTACACTTATGAAACAGATCAATCAAACAAAGAACAATGCTAATATAGATACAGAAAATATATGTCACGTTTTAGATTTTAAATTTGGTAGGTTTACAATGTGCTAATCCAGATCTTGAGCTGAGTTCGAGTGATTTCCAATTCTCTTCAGCCATGGCTGAAAGATATACTAACTAAACACCAGTTAGGTCTCGTTGGTTCCTAGGTTGCAGTACATCGGGTCACAACCTTACCCAAATTTGCTTATTCTTTGAAGCCAGCAACCATATCATCAGTTTCATGATTTCATGACATTCCGGGATTCATTCTCCTAATTGGCATAGCAAAAGATGCCAGTCATATTTGCTGAAGTAATTATGCACAAAACTAGTTTCTTAAGACATTTCAAAGCATTTGAAATGGTGTGCCGAAAATCTCATATTCCCAAGCCAAAATTAGGCATTGGAGCAGAAAAGAGCCACTCCAACAGTGTGTCAAAATTTGGCAACTTTGATCAGTTGACTACTTACCTAAAATTTACGTAGTTTTCATTTTTCGAATTCAAAAATTTACAATTAGTACACATGATCATATTGTAGGGTGAAGATAGAATCATAAGGTGTGTTATAAAAATTGCATTTGCAGCCCCCCAAAAAATGAAATTTTGGCACAATAACAAGCCAAAATTTGACACTGGCAATGCAATTTCAGCAATAACCATTGGAGATGCTATCAGCCGAGCATGTTAAATTCAAACCAAAAGGTACCCAACTAAAATAGCTGACTATAGACACACATGTTACTAGCTAAACCAGTGTTAACAGTACTAAACACCATTGTTAAGAAAATTCTAAAATGCAGGAGCAATAATAGCATTGACAGCAAGTTCAAATTGCAGATTTGTAAGAATTCAAGTAATAAAATAAACTACCCTAATTCAAATGAACATATGCAAATGTATGTATCTATCTATCAACATATATTAAGGCATGGAAAAGACGAAATTACCCTCAGCAACAGCTCTGACACCTTCATCCATGGCGTCCTTGGTCGAAAAAACCTTGGAAACAAGCCCCAATTCCTTGGCTTCCGATCCCGAAAACCTCCTTCCAGTCAACGCCAACTCCATCGTGCTCCCATGCCCAATAATACTAGGAAGCCTCTGAAGCGTCCCGAGATCAGCCGTGATCGCCAGATCAACCTCCTTCACTGAGAAAAACGCTCTCTCCGTACAATACCTAATGTCACAGGCGGTGATGATATCAACACCGCCGCCGATACAAGCCCCGTGCACAGCGGCGATTACTGGCTTCCGACACCTCTCTACGGCCGTGACCGCTTCCTGGAAGCGCTTGATCTCTCGCCGGACGCGCTCGGCTGTGCGGCCGTGGTCGCTGGATTCGGAGGTGATTGAGCTTAGGGCTTTGAGATCGATGCCGGAGCAGAAGTGATGGCCGTTGCCGGAGAGGACTATGACGGCGACGTTAGGGTTTTGATCGAGAGACGATAGGGCTTTGGGGAATTCTGTGAAGAAATCGAGAGAGAGTGCGTTGAGAAGTGACGGTCGATTGAGGTGTAGGTTGAAGACTGGAGAGTTTGGATTTTGCTGAACGATTTCTAGGGTTTTGTACTTCTCCATGGTCGATTGAGGTACCTACCAGTTGGGGAATAGAAAATGCAGCAAAGAAAAAGAGAAGTAAAGAAAAGTTCTGCGGATAAGTGAAAGGAAATTAGGATGGCCTTACTTCTGTTACCAAACAGACAGACTAAAAAAACACGAAGGTCCTACCGGGAGTCGAACCCAGGTCGCTGGATTCAAAGTCCAGAGTGCTAACCACTACACCATAGAACCTCTTGGCGTTTGTTTTTAAAAAAATATTAATTGTTTGCATTTATTTTTATTTTTATTTTTATTAAACAAACCAACACTCCCTTAAGCCCCATTTGTTTGGGGTTATAGGAAGGGGATTGAGACTACTAATACCTTGGTATTACTAATACTTTGTGGTCATGTTTGATTCATAAGATTAACAGTGAAGTATTAATAATCCTATTAAATTAATGTGGTATTCACTATCCAATTGGATTAATAATCTCACCCCTATCCCATTACTAATAATCTTACAAATTTGTTAGATTAATTATCTATTGGATTAATAATCTTAAACCAAAATGTTAAAACAAACATAGGATAATTAGGCCCACGGATTAATAATCTCAATCCCATGCTCTAATCCATCCAATCAAACTGCCCTGTTTGTTTTGAGAGATGACCTTGGGACTACTAATACATTGGTATTACTAATACCCTTGGAAGGGGGATTCATAGTGAGGAGGTAGAGATGGTATTAGAAAAATAGTGAGAGGATTAGAAATTTTTTTATTTTTTATATATTGGGAATTTTTTTAAAAATATTAATGTTTAATTTTTATATTTGTTTTATTATTTTATATAAAAATAATTTAACAATTTCTCACTATTAATTCCCTTACTAACAATCCCCCCACTATTAATCCCCTCAATATCAATCTCCTCCATTCTATTTCTGAAAACAAACAAGGCTTAAAAGCTTATTCAAAATTAATTCATAATATAAATACATAAAGGTTAAACACATTTGAAATTTATCAAATTTTTAAGGTAAACTTCAATAACTTATATTAATATATGGTACCATATGGTGTTAGTCTATCTTACTTCTTTTAAAAAATTATAACAATTGAAACATTAGTACCGTATGATCTAAATAATTTATTTTACTTCTTTTTTTTAAAATATAATAATAATAATCAAAAACACATCATAGTGGTTCATTTGAACCTGCCTAAGAAGGTAAACTCCAGATTTAAATGCCACTCCACTTTCAAGATTAACTTGAGGTTCAAAGGCAATCTCTAGGACTCTGTTTGATTCATAGATTTAGAAAAAGATTTGAAAAGAAAAAAACAAAAAAATGATAAGTAAAATGTGAATAAAATATACTCACGTTTCACTTAATTTCACACACTTTTTCTTGTTTTCTTTCTAAATTCATAAACTAACACAGGCTAAGTAAACCGAACAAAAGTGAGGATCAAATCCACAACGTGAAGCATAACAGCTTGCGGGAAGTGTTACTCGTATGCACTTCTTTGTTCCTTATAAATGCAGTGGATAACTTGTTTAGCTAAAACACAAACTAATCATAGACTTTTACTGGTTGCAATGCCTAGAGTTGGTTGATTGAAACTCCCTAGTTCAATCAAATGTTCCAAACCCTCCTTGCATTTTTCAGTTGAAAAATCAGACATACAAGTCTTGTGGATAAATTGAACACTTTCAAAAACCAGAAATAGTACAAAACCATAAGGTACATGGAAACATACATAGAACTAATACCCCTTTAATTTCAACATATCAATTGGTCAATAACATGTTGCTGAAGAAGAAGAAGACTACAGACAACAACAGTACATCTCATGTAGTACAGACTTACAAGAACCAGCAGAAGCATAATATCCGACGATTTTCTCTCTCAAAATTTTTTTAAAAACGTCATAATCTTCCGCTCTTGTTCTTCTCCCCGTAAATATACACTCTTTAGTTGCTCTCTTTTTCTTGGCTTCAGTTCCAGAAATGGAAAATCAAATTTAAGAAGTAAATATTTCAGCTCCATGTCCCTTTCTACGAGACACGCGCTCTCAATCTAGCCGTGGGATGTAAAAAAATGAAACCTAGATTGCACCAAGCTCATAGAAAGCTTACTTCCATTGTTCCACCAGCACTTTTGTCGTCTTTTTGGGCATTATCTGTTAGTGCCATCGAAACTACCTTGAGCATTTTGTCGTCTTTTTTCCCGCCAATTCTCTCCCCACATTTTGGCCTCCGCAACGGCTCGTTCCCTATCCAAATCCCTATTTAACATCTTCGCGGTTTCTCTTGGAGACTCATCCCTTTCGGATCCTTCAAAGTCCCACTTGCATCCAGATCCTCCTCCTTCTTCATGCTTTAATATCCTCCCACCTCTCTCTTCTTTGGTTCTTCTCTCATCCTTATGGTCGTATGCCTGGTTTGCTAAATAAGAAAGGGCCGTGACCACGTCTCCGATGAGAGGACGTGCAGCAGCCTGTTCTTGGATGCACATGGATGCCACGGCTAGAGCTTGGTACAGACCCCGCATTGGATACTTACCCTGTAATCGCGGGTCAGCCAATTTTGCAAATTTTCGACGGTCATTGAACAAGGGACGAGCCTGCAATTACAAGAACCTTACTATCAGTTAATTATTGCATTTACAAGATTTGAATAGGCAACTGAACTCTATAATAATTAAGTGATTACCCAAGCCACAAGGTTCTGTTCCCCTGGGGGTCGAGTGCTATCAATAGCTTTACGTCCAGTGATAAGCTCTAAGAAAACTACCCCGAAACTGTAAACATCGGATTTTACTGTAAGTTGACCAGTCATAGCATACTCAGGAGCACAATAACCGTAAGTGCCCATAACCCTGGTGGAAACATGAGACTTGTCTCCTGTAGGACCAAGCTTTGCAAGTCCAAAGTCGGAAAGCTTAGGGTGATGTTGTTCATCCAACAATATGTTTGATGACTTGAAGTCCCTATAAATCACTGGAGGGTTTGCTTTGTCGTGGAGATATTCTAAACCTTTGGCTGCCCCGGCTGCTATTGTCATCCTTGTATTCCAATCTAGTGGTTCTTTATCCAGTGGAAGATCTGCAAAAACATTTCAAATATTAGATGATAATCAACAGGCACTGGATGTACAGATAAATGCAAATGCCTATAAGTGGTATAGAATTGTACATCATAACTAGATCAAACTGTATCAAGAATGAAACTGCTATGGCAGAACAAACGGAAAAGAAAAAGTAAAACAGAGTAATCACACAAAAACACAAAGATATAGGTGGTTCGGCTCTAAGAGTACGTCCCCGGGCAATGAATGACAGATGGTTTCACTATCAAACGAGAAAAAAAAAAATACACACAGTTGTTTCTGTCAAAGCCATGTGTAACAAGAACTCTCTCTAATCACATAAACCCCTTATCCCTGAAATAACCCATAATATATTCAAAGATCTTAATACAACAGTCAGACCTGTGCTTAACCTTGATCTTTGCTTAGTTAGGTTTCTAACATAGAATACACAAGGCATATGCATCGAAGTACGGGAACTGCTAACTATGTTATTGTCCTGGTATTCCTTCTGTAGTTTATATATTATACATATGGATAGCACACATTATCCGCATTTGAATATTCCAAGGTACATGTTCAGCAGCCTTAATTGTTACACATGCTCATATATAGCAATTTGGCAGTACCAAGGTCAAATATGGTAGACACCATGAATCATGAGATTATACCTAAACCAATTTATGAACACATCTTGGTATTTATCGTCTCCTTTAGTGCTACCTTAGTAAAACACTGGATCTACTATACAACCATGTTTCCATTATTGCCACACAAGTACTCAAATGATAACTAGATACACGGTTCTATTTATACAAAGCAAATCATTTGGAAGAGTAAACACAACTGCAAGTAAATTATTCCATTTACTAAGCTATCATGTTTCATACACGCGTCTCAGATAAAAGATGAAGAAAAAAAGAAGGAAAAAAATACCCAGAGCAGATACAAACAGAATGCGAAAACCAAAAGATTTCTAGCTGAAAGAAGGAAATTAAGTACTTGACTGTCAATACAAGGGGAAAAATATCCACATTGAAATCTTTATGGAGTCATTTCGAACAAAACTTCATTTGGAGATCATGTGGTCCATCTATCACCAAATTTCAAAATAAAGGTGCGAGTGCATGTACCTGGATCTCTTACAAGAGCCAAGTCACCACACTCCACCAGATGCACTTGCCAACTCCACTCAGACAGATCTACTTGCTAATTACGCTCCACCGGATCTGCTCGGTGAATTGCCTATGCACCACTCACCTCACCCACTCAATGGCTCTTCCTCAACTTCAGACTTGCATCCTGACACTACCATGCCCACCTAGGTCGGTTGCAAGACCTAGGGACCCCCTCATGCTCACTCTTCCTCAACTTCAGACTTACGTCCTGACACTACCATGCCCACCTAGCTCAGGAGCAAGACCTAGGGACCCCCTCATCATGCTCACTCATGGAATCATTAGAAACCTGTGAGTTGGTGACTAGAGTTGGGATTGTCAAAGTTAGTTGGCTCAAACCCCTCGGGGTGGCTCTTCTTTGATCAATCTTCGATAAGAGAGAGATAGAGAGTGTACCATACCTACTCTCTCTCTCTCTCTCATGATCCATGGTTTTAAACAATAGTATCAACATGTATCGGTATTAGTGATACGGTCATATATATCGATCAATATTGATATCGGACAATATCGGCCGATATATTAGTGTAACGGTATTGGATTACATAACGGCCGATATTTAAAACCCTCTGGCATCATCTTAGTGCCTGCCATGATTTCCCGGTCTACCCACATCACCCACGACCCTCAACAAAAGGAGACACTGGACAATACAACAATTTGATTATGATACAAAAGAAAATGAAAGGCACTCATGCACACCACATTTGCACCACAATTGTTTCATCCTCATCTCATACTAAATCACTCCTCTAACTGACACTATCACCTAAACCATCTGAGCTCAGCTACTTCTTAAATTTTGCAAGGACCCACTCATTCTTGTATCTTTCTTTCTCTCTTTATTTATTTTCATTTGGGACACTAACGAAATTTTAAAAAGCACCATTCCTACAGGGATGAAAACGTAAAACTACCCAAATGCCACCGCCATCTAAAAAAAAAAAAAGTTACATTTGCACCACAATTGTTTCATCCTCATCTCATACTAAATCACTCCTCTAACTGACACTATCACCTAAACCATCTGAGCTCAGCTACTTCTTAAATTTTGCAAGGACCCACTCATTCTTGTATCTTTCTTTCTCTCTTTATTTATTTTCATTTGGGACACTAACAAAATTTTAAAAAGCACCATTCCTACAGGGATGAAAACGTAAAACTACCCAAATGCCACCACCATCTAAAAAAAAAAAAGTTAAGGCCAGCTGGTTTCTTGATTTTGATTTCTTGTGATCTCAACCTTCCTAATCTCCCCTCTCATCCATCTCAGCTAATGTTCATCCTTTCCAGTTGCAGAATAACATGTTTCTTCATTCCTACTTCCTAGCTGGTTCCATTGTTGACCATCTTGCATTAGGCTATGGTCATCATTTCTCAATATGAAGCATTGAACTTTTCTTCGCAGCCAAAATGCAGACTTTGAGCATAACCGCAACTTCAGAGGTTTCAAATAATTTCACAATGACAACTTGCACTCCGTAGAATTTAAGTAAACAAAATGAAAAGAAAGAAATTATAAATCCTATAAACATAATACTAATATTTAATGAATGCGTACCGTGAAGGTGATCTTCCAAAGATCCCAAAGGCATGAATTCATAGACAAGAAGTCGCTGGTCCCCGTCAGCACAGTACCCAATCAAATTCACCAGATTGGTATGATGCAGAAGGCTGAGCATAAGAACCTCCACAAGAAATTCCCTGTTACCCTGAAGCCCATTTCTATCCAATTGTTTAACAGCAATAGCCTGAAAAAGACAGACACGCCGTAATCAGCACAAACGCATAATCAAAAGCAACCAAAAATGACAACAGAATGCTTACTTGTTGAAGAGAAATCAAAATGCGTGGGCTAGTCCTACAATTTCATGAATATGGAACGCTTGAAAAGGATATTACAGGCTTCAAGGTACAGAATACAAGTCAGATCCCATCAATACAGATTTAATTCCGATTGAATCTAATTTCAAATGATGCAATCTCTGGTAAAAATGATGCAAACTAATGTCAAGTTAAATACTTTGGCTTTTTAATCTTCCCAATTAATTCCATTACATCAGTTTCCTTCTATGAAAATTTTGGGGGGATAAATTTCAATTTAAAAATGTATTATCACTTGCAGTAATAGATATCACAAATCAAGAAAAAAAGAAAGGAAGAATTTACTTGGCCTGTGCTTTCAAGCCGGCCTTTGTATACGCGCCCAAATCCTCCTTCCCCTAAGAAAGACTCTGGCCTAAAATTCTTTGTAGCAGTGGCTAGCTCACGGAAAGAGAATATATGTGCAGCAATATTAACATCAGGTAAACCCTTTGGACTCGATGATTCCTTCCTCGACCCCAAATTGCTTCTTGATTTAAGTCTGTCACCTCCTGCAAGTTAAACCAAGCCAATCATGTGGAGATCAAGTACCAGTACCAAGAAAATCAGGCCCCCAATGAACCAACCCAATAACAAATTTTAAGACCTCAACATCTTGGACACAAGTAATTCTAAATATTCCATAACTTTGATCCAGGTGTGGCGCATAAGGAAGACCCCTTAGAGCACAGTTCCAATTATTTGTAATAAAAATCATTACTAGTTAAGATCCTCTTGAAGTGCAGTACTATGTCAAAGCTAAAGCACCCAATTGTGTCAGTAAGTGAATCAACTCCGAACCATCTACATTATTGTTTCTATAATTGAAACAAATCTACTAGTTCTTCAAATTATCAATCAGATTAACCTGAGCAATCAAAATTCTTTTCAGGAATCAATTCATTGCACAAACATGAAAAAAGAAAAAAGAAAAAACATGTGAACTGCAACTAAGTTTTGTTGGGTCTATATCAAATTAAACAAAAAGAAAACATCATCAATCTGATTAGATTAAATCAACCAAAATAATCTGAAAAATCAAATATGAAAGTTATTGACAAAACCGAGATGCCCAGATCAAACAACTATGCACATAGAGAGAGAGGAGACTAACCAGAAGACAATCTAGATATGTTGGAAGGAGCTGTTGGGAGGCTTTCATTGGGATGATCTCTTTCATTATGAAGATTGGGTTTTTCATCTTCCCTTGAATCAAAACACGAAAAACAACCCATTTATCCTCTCCCTCCTAAATCCAAAACCCTTCTTCCAAAATCCCTTTATTTTTATTTTTTATTTATTTTTTCTTTCTAAAAATCAATTCCGATGTAGCCCAGAAATGGATCAACTCTTCTTCATATTCTCCTCCCACTCATCGTATCAAAAATGGATCGAAAAACCAGATGATTCATCTTCTCTCTATATAAAAATAAATCTAAACCCAATAGGCTCAATCAAGAGAAAGAAAAACCCAAATCAAAATCAATAAACAAGAACAAAAGATGATTATGGCGATAGATAATTTGCAGTGTTGTTGATGTGAGAAAGTTGTGGCCGGCTTGTACTCGGTTATTTCTAACATGGGTGTACTTTATACATACATATATATAGACAACCAAGATGGTGATAGAACTATTACCCATTAATCTATACTGTTCATTACATACCCTTTGACCAAAGAAACCACAACGAACTTGTATATTCCATCTAGATATTTTGCTTGGAAAATGAAATTTTAACTTAATTATATTTAAAAAAAATAAAGGCTATGCTTGGTTCAATTTTTGAAAAAAGTTTGAAGTTTTAAATTGTATTTTAAAAGAGAAGCTGTTAAAAAGAGCTTTGAAATTTAAAATTTTATTTAGTTATGAATTTTAAAAAAAAATTGAGATGATTTATAATTATTTTTTTATTTTTTATTTTTTATAATTAAATAGATGAGTGTGTGTGTGAGAGAGAAAAAAAATTTAATTGATTAATGTATAGAATATAAGAAAATGAGAGATGAGGAAGAAAAAGTGACGGATTGATTTATTAATAAAAACAGATAAGGAGAGGAGAGAAAAAAAAATTTAAAAATTTATTAATTAAACATATTTTTAAATTTTTTAATCTAAATATTAATTTAAAAATTAAATCAAATACTAGCGAGATTTTCTTTTTCCATATTTTTACACGTACTATAAATGACTATAAAGTTACAATAATAAATATTTACCCTCTTTTGGGTAGATGCCGATGGTCACGTAAAGGGGAGATGTACAAAGCACTCAAAGATAAAGGTTACATCTTTTTCTTTATTTTTGTCTCATAATCTTTAAACGAAAGTTATAACAAAAATTTTAGTACAAATTTTCAAGAGTAAATTTTGTGTCATTTTAAGTTTCGTTTGAGATGTAAGTTAATTTTTTTGTTATTTAATTTGGGATTAAAAAATCTCGTTTGAGATGAATCTTTTAACTTTTTTAACTTTTGTGAGAAAAAAATAAAATAATTATGATTTAGATTTAGATTTAATATTTTACCTTATTAATTTTTTAACTTATTTTGTCTTTTTATGGCTATTTTAGCCTTTTAGCCCCAAAAGTCCTCATGCCAAACAAGGCTTAGTCTCTATAATTTCAATTGACTCGATTTTGATTCTAATTTTATAATTTGATTTTAATCTGATCCAATTAAATATAACATTTTAGCTTTTTTATGAAAAATATACATATACGTGTCATGTGTTTTATTTTTTAATATAAATTATAAATTTACTAAATTCGGTGAGTTAATGCCAACCAATTCAGTAATTATTTTATGTCAAAAACACTAACAACATTATCAATTGGACTAAATTGACACAAAATTTAAAATTAAGAGTCAAAATTGAGTCAATCAAAAGTGAAGGAACTAAACTGACACAATGAACAAAATATAGAGATCACCGGTATAATTTGCCCAATTTTCAAATTTGAAAAAAAATATATATATATATATATATATATATATACATAAATTTCACTATGAATTTACGAATTTTCATAAAACTCCCTTCCTGTAGCGTAACAATAAGACAAGGACTAATTTGTAGTGTCTCTTCTCGTCTCATATTGGTCATGGTTAAAGGTGTAAATTTGGCCCGGCCTGGTCCACTTGAGCCCGGGCTTAGGCTGGTCCATGTCAAGTTGTGCAGGCTCTCGCCAAAATTTGGGTCGATCCGAACCTTGAGTTGGGTTTTGAGTGGGCCTTGATCGGGCCTGACGGGCCAAATCGAGTTTCAAAATGACGGCCCAGGCCTAAAGTCTCAAGCTAGACTTAGGCACAAGCCTAACCGAGTCAAATCCATCTTAGGCCACGTGTGGGTTTCGGCCTGCCCACAGGCCACAGTCCATTTTTAAACCCCCAGTCATGACAAAAGCATGGAAAGGGCGAGTGATTTTTATAGTCGTAACAAATATTGTATTAATAAATAAAAAATGATATTAATAAAAATGATATAGTATATTATGAATAATTATTTATAAGTGGGAAGAGTTAAAAGATATAAAATGAATATTAAGTTTAATATTTTAAATCTTATCATATTTAAAAAATAAAATATGCAGTATATGAATAAATATAATCGAGATGAAATTGGATAAAACGATATGGGAAAAGTACCTATCCTGAACCTATTTCATCATTGGTTGGTCTTAGAATATTACTCCATACCATTTATTGAGAGATAAGTATTCCATTATCTTCAAAAAAAGAGACAGAAATGTCGTGAGTTCCACCAATTCACCGAATAACAATCAAGTTGAAATATCACCTCAGTTTACCTTAGGAACAAACAATAATTTTCCGAATGTGACGTGGGGGAAAATTGTTATTCGTACCCTTCATCTATAGAATGTCAATTTTGCTCTCGTCTAGAATTACTGAAATGCGTTGCATTTAGGACACGAAAAGAATCAATATACTTCAATTCTATTCGTACTTAATTCTTTTGAAGTTTGTTGATATTCAACCTAATAAGTTATGCTAACTGTAAAATTATATAATAAAAAAGTGTATGGTACTCAAGATCAACTATAAAATAGTTTAAAATCTACTCAAAAATAAAGAAATAAAACTCTTTCAAATTTTCAATTTAAGTTTCCACGATGTACTAACTCAATTAATTTATAATCCTACTGTCAATCTATTGCAAAAAGTGGCACTAAATACCAAACATTGTTTCTCTATTTTTAGCCAAAACTTGAAAAGTTGGCTCACGGGGAGGATTAATACAAGTGGATTCTATGTTTATGTGGGCTTTAAATAGATAGAAAACATTCCCATTTTCTTAGTGGAATGGTGATCATTATCACTAATATGGTAAGAATAATAGACACAAAAATGGCCTACTTTCATGTAAGCCTGATGAGATAAATTTTTTTTAAAGAAGCCGATTTTTTTGTGGAGTCTGGATCCTTTGACGCCTTATCCTGCGGTAGTTCTTGCGGCGCCCCAAAATGACATCCTTTTGGGGCAAAATTTCACAAAAAAAAAAAAAAAAAAAAAAAAAAAAAAAAAAAAAACCAAATACATAGAATTAGAGAAGAGAAAGAGAGAAAGAAGAAAGACGAGGTCTCCTCACGAACAGACGCACCTAGTTTCTTTTTTGATTATTTTTCTTCCTTTTTCTTATTTTCTTCTCTGCTCTCAAATCCTAAGCACCTCACGAACGGACGAACAAAGAGACGAGGTCACCATTGACGGTCGGACAACAGGGCGACAGCGACAACGGCAGAGACACACCTGAAATTTAAATATATAAATATTAAAAAAATTGAATCAATTTCCATGGAAAAGTAAACGTCAAAGTAAGGAACCTCAATTTTCAATTGTAGAAATGAAAAGAAAAATATTGATCCTGGTTGTGTTGTTTTTCTTAAGCAAGAATAGTGAATATTTCTGTTAAAAGAAAAGAACAGAAGTGAATATTTGGGCAATCTAGAGCTAGGGTTTCTTGGAATTGTGGGTTTTGTAATGTTATCTCTAGGTGTTGAGTATTTGGATCTGGATCTAAATCTGAGAGGATTGCTAACAAGGAGAGAGTGAAATATATATATATATATATATATATATGTATCTATGTGTGTATATTATTTTTAGGGCTGGGCATAGAACCCACATTCTGCCAAAAATCGGGTTCGGGTCGGGTTGCGGTTCTGACCCTACCCGAACCGCAACCCGCGACCCGCGTATTAATACTTTTTTTTTTAAATATATTTTTATATATATATATTTACAAAATAAACCTTATTTATTTATTACTTATTAGGGCAGGCTCTTATTGTTTTTGCCCAGCCCGTCTCTTTCTCGCCTCTCCCCCTTTTCATTACCTTCCTTAGCTAGCAGCAGCCGCTAACCCTAGCAGCACAGCAGCAACAGTGGTGGCGAGGCGAGACGCCGGCGATCGGCAGCAGCAAAGCAACCGGCGATCGGCAGCAGCAAATCAACCGGCGATCGGCAGCAACACAGCCCTATACAGTTCTCTCTCTCTCTCTCTCTTTCATTCGATTGATGGCTCTCTGTTTGATTTGGCAAGCTGATCCATTAGTATTTGTAACATGTCTCTGCTTGATCTGTTTGCCTCAACTTTGGTATCTCTTTGTCCTCAAGAATTTTCTCTTTTCCTTTCTTGAGCAATGGATTCAACCACCAAAATGACAGTCTGCTTAAACAAAAACATCTTTTCAATAGTGATTTCAACATTTTATTTTATTTTATTTTTTTGTGGCAATCAAAACAAGCTATAACAAGATTATAAAAAATATCCCCTCCCTTTTTAAAATTATAAAAAATAAAAATAAAAATCTTAATTTTAATCTTGTTCCCCACTTTATTTTTATTTTTTTAATTTGAATTATTCATGTTGTTCTTTTTTCATTTGTTTTATTTTCGTTTTTCATGACAAAACTAGAGTGAGCTGCTTAATTTTTTTTTCTTTTTTGTATTTTTTTTGACAGAGTAATGTGCTCTATATATGCTTTCTTCTTGTATTAATGATGAATTTTCTTGTATGCAAAAAGGGACAGAAATGAATTTACTTTAAAATAAATACTTAATTATTATGTTTCCCTTGTTGGATGTGAAATCCCTCTTGAAAGCTCCAAGGGGAGACAAAAACATCTTTTCAATAATGATGAAGTTAGACATGTTATTTGACTATTTATCCATAAATTTAATCAAAATGGTATTGGTATGGTATTGTATATGGTTTAGATTCAATTATTATACCATCCATGACTTAATTGTTATCTCATACATTTTTAATTTTTTATTACCAGTTTGAATGGATAAAGATAACAATGCTAGTGTTGAATCTACCGGAAGCCCTATTGTTCCACCAGAATCATCTAACTCTCAAACTAATGTTTCCCTATCTGAATCTAAGCCTCCTAAACCCCCGAACAAAAGAAAGAGTGAGAGTAGTGGTGGGAGAGCACCATCCTCGGTTTGGGACCATTTTGATAAGGGTATAGGAGAAGATGGGAAACGTAGAGCAGTGTGTAAGTATTGTTATAAAGAGTATATGGCCGATTCTAGGACTCATGGGACTAGTAATTTGAGAAGTCATACCCCTAATTGCAAACAATTTCCAAACAATGATAAAGATGGGCAACAAACATTGAGTTTTAAACCAAAACAAAATGCCGAAGAGGGTGTTGAGGTTGTGGCAACAAGTTTTAGTTTTGATGCTTGTAAAAGGGCTCTTGCTGAGATGGTGATTATTGATGAGTTACCTTTTCGATTTGTGGAGGGAGTTGGATTTAAAAAATTTTGTAATGTTGTCGTTCCTAAATTCACACCAATCTCATCTCATCATACCATAACAAGAGAGGTGACAAACATATTCAACAATGAGAGGGATAAATTGAGGAGGTTGATGAAGGGTCGTAGAATTTGTTTCACTACGGACACTTGGACTTCTATTCAAAATTTGTGTTACATGTGTCTAACGGCTCATTTCATTGATGATAATTGGAAACTACAAAAAAGAATCATAAACTTCAAACAAGTTGAAGATCACAAGGGGGAAACTTTGGGTAGAAAAATTGAGTTGTGCTTGCTTGAGTGGAACATCGATAGTATCTTCACTGTAACTGTTCATAATGCTAGTTCCAACAATCTTAACATTCAATACTTGAGAAGAAATACCAAAGATTGGAAGGGGACCATTTTGGAGCATGAGTTTTTGCATATGCGGTGTTGTGCACATATTTTAAACCTTGTTGTGAGTGATGGATTGAAAGAAATGGATGATTCTATTGCAAATATTAGACTTGCGGTTAGGTATGTGAGGTCTTCTCCTAATCGGCAAGATGCTTTTAAGAAGTGTGCGGCCTATCTAAAACTTGTGACTACTGCTCTTGTATGCCTAGATGTACCAACAAGGTGGAATTCCACATATTTAATGTTGGAGGCTGCTGAAAAGTTTGAGAAGGCTTTTAACCGTTTGAAGTATGAAGACTCCAATTTTGAAACTTACTTCAAGGATGTTGATGGTGGGATTAGGAGGATTCCAAATGAGGAGGATTGGAAAAAATGTAGGTTGTTTGTGAGATTTTTGAAACTATTCTACCTTGCAACAAAGAAATTTTCCGGGTCCCTTTTTGTTACTTCCAATGCATTTTATAAAGAGATGTTTAAAATTGAAAGCACAATTAATCAATTAATTTTGGACAATGATGATGTTTTGTGTACAATGGCTATGAGTATGAAGCAAAAGTTCAACAAATATTGGGGGGATGGAAATAAGATTAATTTGTTGTTGTATGTTGCTGTTGCTCTTGATCCTACAAAAATGATAGCATACTTGGAGTTTTGTTTTACAAATATATTTCATGGAGATAAGAGGAAGGTGGATGAGATGGTGAACAAAATTGTTTCTTGTTTGACTCGTTTGTACAACCATTATGCCACAATTTATTCATCAAATGAGAGTGTCTCGAGGGTGATTGAAGTGGAGACAATGGTGATTGATGAGGATGATTTGGATTCTCAAATGGAGTCCCAATTTAATTCATATTTGGAAGGGCGCTTCACTAGTGGAAGCAAGTCGGAATTAGACAAGTACTTGGGCGAGGTTGAACATTTTGCAAAAAATCAGACATTTGAGATATTGGAATATTGGAAGAATAATGCAACAAAGTATAGAGTGTTATCTCAAATAGCAAAGGATGTGTTGGCCATGCCCATTTTTACCGTTGCTTCGGAGTCGGCTTTCAGTATCGGGGGACGTATCCTTGATCCATTCCGTAGTTCACTTGCCCCTTTCATGGTTGAAGCTCTTGTATGAACACAAAATTAGCTTAAAAGCAACCTTCCAATTTCTCTTCGAAAAGCAATGGATGATGTGGAGGAATTTGAGCAATACGACTCGGGTAATATGTGAATATCTCTTCATTTTTAATTCTATTATTATTTTTACTATGCAAGTTTATTTATCTTCTCTTGTTGACTCATGCTTTTAGGTACTTTGGAGCCATGTTCATCTTCAACCCCAAAGTCTAATGTAGATGCTATAATTGAACTTTAATGTTCATTTGGCTCATGTGTGAGATTTTTCTAATTAGTTGAGATCAGATTAATGTTTATTTATTTATATCTATTATTTATATTTATTCATTTGGCTCATTGGAATTTTTTTTGGCAGATTGTTGGATGAGATTGGACATTGGATCTAAAGAGTTTAGTGAAGCCTTGGATACCACCTTTTGAAATTATTTTGGATGAAGTTTGTGGACAATGTTATTTTAGTTTGTAACTAATTTTTATTATTATTATTTTTTTTATTTTGGATGAACGTAAAATTTATTGGAGCACTAAATTTTAGGTAAGCTTTAGATTTTGGATGGATGGATGGATGAAAACTAATTTATTTTAGTTTCTAACTAGTTATTATTATTATTTTTGCATTTTGGATTGATAGGTAAGCTTTGGATTATGGATGGATGGAGATAACTAATTATTATTATTATTTTTACATTTTGGATGAATGTAAAACTTAGGTAAACTTTGGATTATAGATGGATGGAGATAACTAGTTATTATTATTATTTTTGCATTTTGAATGAATGTAAAATTTAGGTAAGCTTTGGATTATGGATGGATGGAGATTGATTTTAGTGTGAATTTTAATGCTGTTTTAGTTTGTAATTAGTTTTATCAATTATTTTTGTATTTTGAAAGAATGTAAAATTTATTATATCATTATATGGGCATTTATGTTATAATGAAATTTAATTTATAACTTTTCCATAAAAAAAAAGAAAAGAAAAGTGCTTAAAAAGTAGCCCAACATGTCAAATTTGTTCAAATTAACATCATAACTAAGCCCAATTAAAAAAAAAAGTCCAAACCACAAACCGAACCGCACCCGCCCGCACAAACCGCGAACCGCACTGCGGGCGGTTGCGGGTCTGTTTTCTTTAACCCGTACGTGTACGGGTCGGGTCGGTTATGACCCACACCCGGCCAAAACCAATCCGCGACCAGCCCTAATTAGTGTTTAGATATATAAGATAGTGAATGCAAATATGGAAGGGTGAGGTTCAACTGTGTCGCCGCCACTATCGTCTCACTGCTATTGTCATTGTCACTTCACCACCGTCATCATTGCCTCGCTGTCTGATCATCAGCGGCGACTTCGTAGGGTTTGAGAGCTTAGACAGAGAATGAATGAGAAAAAGGGAAGGGGAAAAAAAAAAGAAGGCTCACCGCAGAGATAACCACAGGAATGGGCAGCAGATGATTCGAACTCCTACCAAATGAGACCGGCTTAATCTAGTAGCAAACCTTAACCTCTCACCCCTCAACATTGAATTGGATGTTAAAGTTGCTCTGGTCCTTTCTTTAGAGAAGCATGGGTATTTTGAAAAACATATTGTATCCGTACTAGGTATTTGTCGATATATGCAATCTCGTATGGAATTTCTGCATACATACTGAATACACGAAACATGTGCCCAAATTTTATTTTCTTAATTTTTGGTGTACCCAAACATATCTAGTATATACCCAAACTGTACCGTACCTTAGTTGAAACAATATTTTCTTCTACTACATATCTTTTCACTAGACTTTCTTTTTTATTTTTTTGTTTTATACTTAACATAATTTTAAAATTAAATTATGGTTTATAAGTTATTTAATATATTGACATTTAATTTTGACTTATATCTTTACTTTTTGCATTAAATGTTAACTAGTGTTCCACATGTGCTATGCACGGGTTGTGTTTACAATTATTTATATATATGTTAATTGTAATTTTTATTTTTTATTTTTTGCATACGGAAAAAGGAATATAACACATCCAACACAATCAATTATTTTATGCTTGCTTTTATTCAAAATTGAAAAATAATGTACGGCAAAATTTATAACTAAATTAAGAAAAATTTATTCCTAACGATATTTTTTTACATATATATAAATACTTTAAAAAAAAAAACTTGAAAAATGTACTCAATATAAAATATTATACATTAAGTAAAAAAATGTGGTTAGCAATTTTGGTTACATAAATTTACTATAGTTTTAATTTCGAATTAAAAAAAATATATTTTAAAATCATTTTATTTAGTTAGTACCAAATAGAATTTTAATATAGAAATTATTTTTTTAGATTTTTTATAAAAACAATTTAACAATCTCATCACCAACCATAGTGTATAAGAGAAGTTGAAAATTGTGCGGTATTAGGTATGAGAGAAATAAAAATGGCTTGTGGGGTGAGAGAAGTCAATAAATACTGATTTTTTTTTTAAATTAAAAAATTAGAAAATTAAGATTGAGATATTGGAACTCGCACAAGGCTTGTGAGTTAGAAACTTACTTTTCCTTATATAATATATAGGTAGATAGATTAGAGATTGGATCTTAACAAATTAAACTATTTAATTAATTTTTGCATTATCTAAATTTTTTTTTCCAAGCATACCAAGCTATACTCATACCTTATTTTTTTTTTAATTTTACCATATCGACATACCCGTATCATATTAGTACCGGTACTCGTATCCATATCTATATTTTATAGGACAACACAGATTTTTACCACCATAGTAACATTCTATTTGATTGCTGGTTCCTCTTAGAATAACTTCAACCTCATCGACGTGAGCATGTCTATTGGGAAGGGAACAAATGTGCAGACATTTTGGCAAATGAAGGCTTCGTTAGAAACCATTGTGTCACTCACTACAAAAAAAAACACATTTGGCGACAAAATTTTTAGTTGCCAAAAGTGAATTTTTAGTCGCCAGAAGTCGGGTTTTGAGTTTTCCCGACTAAATTTTTTAGTCGCCGGCTTGGTTGCTGGAAAACTGTCGCGAAAGGTATTGCCGACTAACAAACTTTTAGTCGCCAAAAACCAAGTCTGTAGCGACTAAATTTTCGTCGCCAAAGCTCATTTATATTTTTTAAATTATACATTTGGCGACTAAATTTTTTGTCACGACCCAAACCCGCCCCTATGGGTTTAGCACCGTAACCGGCCAGTAATCCGAGATTACCGAAGGCCTGCTTAATAGTAATACAGTAAAACAGAGTACAGGGGCCTGGCGGAAGCCAATACAGTAAATAAACAATGTCTAATGAGCTGTGACAGTCTGTATGCCAAAAAGACTTTTCATACACATATACATAAACAGTACAGAACAGTATGTATATATACACAATCATTCAGTTCAGGGACCTAATCCCTATTAAACAGTACGGTAACAGTTTACAGTTTACAAGACAGAACAGAAGGCGGAAAACTAAAACACCCCATAGCCTTAGCTTGACAGGCTCGGAACCTCGCAGTGAGGCACATAGGTTGGCTTGACAAAACTGGAGTTTACCCCGATGCTTCTAGTTGCGGTCTGGTGCCTGTATACCTACATATATATATATATATGAGCAGTGACCTAAAGCCCAGTGAATAACATAATGCTGTAGACGTCCCCGAACGCCCCGGGAGGACGAGGTCCCCCCGTTCTGTTCATATTGGGGTCACTACAGCTCAGGACTCTCAAATTGTCACGGTTCTAAATCTGAACCAAAGAGTCCAAATCCGGCAAATCGTTTTGAGAAAACAGATTTTGAAAGAAGTGCCAAACATGGACTGCTTTGCCAGATACAGAGTCGCCACCTAAATATTTTATTTTGG